AAAAAAAAAGAACCTGTATGGAAAATGAAAAACCAGTATCACCTGTCATAAAAACAACAGGAAGAAATACAAGCAGAAACATTATTTTCAACTTTGGCAAGCAAGATCTTTGTTAAGAAGAGAGACGTTGAGTTTTGGTGAGGTGTTGAAGAACCCAAGCACTGAGTCAAGTGTCTCCCTGGGGAGTGGGAACGACAGGACTGAAGACCCCCGCGCGCTGGGACTCCGAGCGGCAGAACGCCCTGCCGGTGGCACCGGCGCTCGGCATGGCTCCCGGAGTGCCTGCTCCGCATGTGGAGAAACAGTGAGCAGGCCAGGCCTTGGGGTCTGTGGGGCAGCTGGGGCCCGGGGCATAGGCCCCAGCGGGTGTGTCAAGCTTCCTTGTGCTTCCTACCCCTGGCTCATAGACCTCTGCACCCAGCTGGAGGGACAGGACAAGCTGAAATCCTGCCACACCCCAGCGGGGCGCTGTGCACACGGCTGTCCCTTGCTCCTAGGTGTGCCTGGAGCCGTGTGCCCTCAGGGAAGTGGGCCTGGGAGCCAGCCCAGCAGTCACGGCAGCCCCAAGGCCACTCAGACAGGGATGCAGGTGTCCCCACCGCCCAGAGCATGGTTCAGAAGGAGAATGGATGGGGGGCACTCGGCTGCTGTGTCCCCTTGGTCCCGCAGCCTCCTTGTCCCCAGGACGTGGGACAAGTGGCTCTGGGAACAAGAGCTAGTGTGCCTCTCACCGTTTCTGAGGCACTCTGCCAGCTGAATTGAGGGGTACACAGATGACCATGAAGGACCTTCAAAAAGGCACTGGGGAGTGCACACTATGAAAAAGTTAGGCTGGACTTCAAAAACTTTTGTACCAAAATAAACTGAATTCCATTTTCTCATGAACCTTGCAAAGTCCGCCCAGATTCCCGACACTGAGGCTTGGAGGCGTGAGTGGTTCCCCGGTTGTAAGCCTTGTGCCTGACTCCCCCATTTCAAGAACTCAAAGTGGCTGGGCCTTGCCTACCAGGCACCGCCTATGGACCCTGTGCAGCCACAGCAAGGAAAGGGACTTTTCTAAATACCAACGGGCCTGGCACCCACAGGCCTGGGACTGTGTGGCACTGACCCCTCTTGTCCCCGCCCCCCCGAGCAGCTCTTTCTGGAAGTGTAAGAGAGAGGGGCCAGCATGTGCCCCCGGGCTCACCAAATGTAGTGCGTTCACTGTTTCCCAAAGGGCTGCTGTGTGGTCACGGCTCATTTCCCTTCCTGAGTCTCAGCGAAGACTCAGCAGAATTTAAACAGTTCACATCACCTTAGCAGCTAATGAGTGCCAGAGAACAGGTAGGAGGTGTGACGCCACCCCTGGCAGGAGGCGGCCCTGCACCCCCGCCCCGCTCCTGCAGCTACAAGAATGCCTGCCAGGGCGTGAGATCGTGCTCCAGCCGCCTTGTCATCTCCAGGCCCTGGGCTAGGCAGCCGAGCCCCTGGGCTCTCACCCTCGCTCACTCACCCCGCCCTCCGCCCCGCTCCTGAATATTCATGGTGCTGGGGCCGCAGCTGACGGGAGCAGGTGGGACAGATGCAGCCCAGGAGTGAAGCCACTGGGCGCCCAGCCGGGGCAGGCGGAGGAGAAGATGAGTTTGGCATGAACACGCAGAGGCTGCCCGAGCCGTGACCATGACCCTGTGCAGGGAAGGGCGAGGGAGTGTGCACGATGCATGCCTGTGCCCCCACCTGGAGCCTTCACTCTCCGGCTCCGCTGGGTGGGAGCTCCTGAGAGACCCCGCCGACATAGTCTCTGGCCTCTGGAAGCTCCATAGGCACTGCCTGAGCACTTGTAGGAAATGCAGATTCTCAGGTCCCCCCCCAGACTCCCAGTGCGCCCTGCGCTCCCTGCGGCTCAGATGACGGCTGCAGTGACAACCTTGCGAGCAGGTGCTCCGGGGTCACAGAGAACTGGGTTTGAGTCTCAGCTCTGCCATGGAGCAGCTGCGTGTCCGGGTCTCCATCTCGGTTCCTGTCAAATGGGGATAAGAACGCGTGCTCCTAGTGTGGATGAGGACCACGTGTTCCCACAGCTGCTCATGGCACCCAGTGAGCGGTAGCTGCCCTGTGCCTCCAGGATCCAGGTGAGACGGGGTAAATTCCAGACGGCCAGGGCGCGGACACTCACAGGCCCGCGCGCTGGGCCCTTTCAGACACATGGCTTCTGGCTCAGGCCTAAAGCTACCACTTGCTTCCTGTGACTGGCCCTTACTGCAGGCCGAGGACAGATGCCAGGAGGCCTGGGTCACCCTCCGGCCTCCCCCGGGGAGCAGTGCGCCGCTCAAACGAGAGAAAGAAACAAGGAGTGAAATTGCCCACAGTCACACAGCCAGGAAGTGGGGGCAGTCTGGCTCCAGGGTCTCGTGGCCACGTGGGGACATGACCAGTCTCTAGGGACACCTGCGGTTCTGGCTGCACATAGACAGGGGAGACAGAAGAGGTGCTGGGGTCCCCATTTCTCCAGCTGGGGCTTAGAAAACAGAGTGGAATGGCTTCCAAAGTGAGTGGCCGAGCTTGATGTGGGATCTCAGATTTCCAGCTCTCTGCCCAGTGCACCTTGCTCGGGTCAGGCCTGTCTGTGCAGGCAGATTCCAGGCAGGGGGCCTGGCCACCCAACAGGCATCAGATAGGCACTGGGTCTGGGGGCCAGGCAAGGGGTGGGTGTTGAGCAGAGGGCACAGGTCCGACTGGCCACGGGGAAGCAGCTGGGCAATGCACCAAGCAGTGCAGGCAGCAGCAACATGGGGAAGGAGACCAAATTTCCCGAGGTTCTACTCTGTCCGGTACTTTTTCACGCAGCACTGGGGCCTGTTTAGTCCTTTCTCATGTGGGACAGAGAAGAGGGCAGCAAGACTCGGCCAAGAGAGCAGCACCAGGAGGCGGCAGGACCAGCAGGCGGAGCCCTGCCTGGTAGACTGCAGCCCCAGGGTTCCTATAACCACCCAGGAACTGTTCTGAGTGGGGTGCACAGTGGGTTTGCTGGTTGGGGTCTCGTGCGGACACAGAGCATGGCCATCTTTGTCCCTGTCTGCCAGGGTCACGCCCAGGGCAGCCTTGGCACCTGCTGAGTGGCTGAAGCCGATGGGAGCAGAGGATGTGCACTTGGCCTTGACTCACCTGCTGCCAGGGCTGTGAGCCCCCAGGCAGCTCCGGCCTGCATGGCCCAAGGAATGGGTGTGACTTGGGGGACGAGCTGGCTTAGTGGTGCCATAGACAGCCACAGCTTTGGGACTTCCTAGGATGCCCATTTCACAGACTGCAATGAGATGCAGCCAGCGGGGGACAGACTTCCTGGCCTCTGAACTGTATCCAGTGTCCCAGACCCTGCTGTTCCAACACAGTTCCAGCAAGCCATGTGGAGTGACCTCAGCAGCAGGTGCTGGGGCAGGAGAGAAGAGGAGAGGGATGTGGGACCAAGAAGGGCAGGGGCTGGGGACTGGACAGGGCATGGGGCCTGGCAGCAGCACCCAGTTCCATGCCCAAGAAGCAGTGGTGAGAGTGGGGCTAACCTGGATCAGGGCTAGGACCCAAGAGGTACCATCTGGCAGGGGGCGTGGCCAGCTGGCCCAGTGGGTCAGTGCAGGCCAGGGCAAGGCCAGGCTTCTGAGCAATGTATCTACCGGGCACAAGACTTCAGCCAGGCCAAGGAGTTAGGAAAAGGCACAACAGACATCAAGAACCAAAATGAAAGCCCAGATTGCATGAGGGGAGAGGCCAGCAGGGTGGGCAAGTTCAGGACGACCGAGTGTGGTTCACGTTCAAGCTGCTTAGCAGCTGAGAGACCCTGGGAGAGTGACTTAACCTCTCTGAGCCCCCTACGTTCATCCAGAGACCAAGAGGCTAATGCAGGGGAAGCACCTGACCCAGGGCTGTAGCAGGCCAGGAATCCGGGCAGCAGGATGGACACACAGTTCTGACTCCCGGTCCCAGCTTCCACCTGCTGGCGGGGCTGGAATTCTGGGATCCTGCCAGGGTGAGAGCTGGACTGGGAACTGGGCTGGCCTTGGGCCTTGGCCATGACCAGCACTGACGATACTGCCACCAAGGAAGTGATGGTGAAATGCAGACCGATGCGTCCACTCGGAAGGCTCACAGAGAGAGATCGGCTCTGGGCTTTAAGTTCAAACTCAACTGGAACAGACCAGCAATGGGGCTTTGCCTGTATGAGTCAGCTTTTCATGACTAAAAGGAAACGCCTGAGGCAGGCCGCCTTTATAAAGAAAAGTGGCTTATTCTGGCCTGCAGTTTTGCAGGTTCACAGTCCGAGACCCGTGGCCCCTTGGTTTAGCATCTGTTGCTGATCCAGGAACCGGAGCTTCTTCTGGGTCTCCCACATGGGTGCAGGGGCCCAAACACTTGGGTCATCCTCTGCTGCTTTCCCAGGCACATTAGCAGGGAGCTGGATCAGAAGTGGAGCAACCAGGACTTGAACTGACGCTCACATGGGAGATGTGTTGCAGGCGGCGGCATAACTCGCCGCGCCACAACACTGGCCCCAGTTTCTGCCTCTTAGTGTCATTAACATAAGACTTCAAGGACTAATCTCTTGAGTTCGGGGGAAAACCTTCAAACCATAGCACTGTCCTTTTCTTTGCTGCTCGGCGTTCTCCCTAAGGGCACCCTAGAAAGCTCATTGCATTAAATGAAAATATAAACCCAGGGGCCAGTATTTTGGGCCTGTGGGCTAAGCTGCCGCCTGCGATGCTGGCATCCTGTACTAGAGCCAGTCTGAGTCTCAGCTGCTCTGCTTCCCATTCGGCTCCCTGCTAATGCGCCTGAGAAGGCAGCAGAAGATGGCTCTAGTCTCCATGCACCCACCTGGGAGACCCGGAGAAAGCTCCCGGCTCCTGGCTGCAGCCTGGCCCAGCCCTGGTGTTGCTGCCATTTGGGAAGTGAATGAGAAGATGGAAGACCTTCTCTCTCTCTGTACCTCAGTCTCTGTCACTCTGTTGGTTGAATAAATACACACATCCTTAAAAAAAAAAAAAAGGAATCTATTTTGGTGCAAAACACTTTAAAATCCATGTATACAAAAAACGTTCATGAAAAATTGCATCATGAGCTGGACTTCAATTTGGTTTTCATTCCACTCACCATGAACTCCTCCAAGTCCCTGGTCAAGGTGTCGCTGCCCGCGGGCCTCCTCCCACACCCACTGCACTGAGTCCGCGCCCTGGAGCAGGAGCAGCCTCGGAGCTCACAACAGCCTCCCTGCTCAGCCGCACCTTGCAGAGTCCACCCCGTGGCCGCTCCAGCTCGCGTTGCTGAACATAAGCCGGACAATGAGATGTGCACGGTCTCGGAATGAACAAAGGCCGCTCCGGGTCAAGTCTGGGAACCGTCAGACACAGCCGTTCTCGGCAAAGCCGGTTCTCTCGGACGTGTTTCTTTGGCCCACTGTCCCAGCTGTGGTCACAAGCCCACCAGGGTCACAGGACACCGAGCCCCAGGCAGCCAAACCCCAGGGGCTGCTCTCCCTGTGGAAGCGGGACAGTGACCTGAGCGCCCCCATGCACCTCTCTGTTGGAGATGTACCTGCACTGCTTGCCTCCCCCTGCCTGGGGGGAGGGAGCCTTGTGAACCATGGTCCAGCGTGGCTCGGCAGCCTCTCCTCGCCACACAGCAGGTGCCGCGGTCTCAGCACTGCGCCCTGGCTCCTTCACGTTGCCTGTAGATTGTTTCTCTAGCAGGGAGGCCGCCCCGCTCCCCTGAAAGCCAGCCCCCCTGCTTTCTGGCTGTGTGGATTCTAACACCTGGGGCAGCCACAGGCCCCCAATCTCACAGGCACAGAGGTGCTGAGGATGCCAACGGGGCATCGCAGCCTCCTGCAGGGGGCGAAGAGAATGATTGCTTCATGGTATCAGGTTTAGAAAACCTTTCAAGGGTGTCCTCTTCAATTCTCCGGTGGCCACGGAGAGGGAGTGCGTGCTGGACCGAGACTGTGGGGGCAGGGCCACGGCCAGCAGCTGGCTTACTGGCTGTCACCTAGCACAGCGCCACACGGGCTGCCTTCTGAGGACACGGCAGTCACGGCTCTCAGGGTCACTGCTCCTCGGGGACAAGCCCCGTTCCTCCTCTTCCACTCTTAAGGAGTCAAGACTGCGTTTTGTTCCCTTCTCTCCTGATTCCCAAGCCAGCCGCTAGCCCTGCAGGAGCACACGAGGCACCTGAAAAATCATCGCTGTTCACATGAGGCACCTGCCAGTGTGAGCCGGTCACCGTGTCCCCGGGACGGGGCGGGGGTGGGGGCACGGAATCCGGGCATCATCCCTGGAGGTGGCCACGGGGAACAAACCAGAACAAGGCAACACCTGGCCCAGCTGAGCGAAGCTTCAGACTCCAACAACGTCCACAGAAATAACCCATGAAAGGCGAGGGGCTGGGCTGGCCCCGGGCTGAGTGAGAGCCTGCCCCTCCAGTCGCTCTTCTGCCCGGGGCACAGAGGAGAGTGGGGAGGGGGCGAGCCTACCCTTCAGCGGGCCCCAAGCACAAACACGTCTCCACATTCGAGAGGCCCCTCCCTCCTTCACTCATGGGTGGAACACACAGGCTCCTGCACCTGCTCTTACGATGTCCTCACTACCCAACCCGAGTACGCCGTTTCCTGCCAAGGCCACGACTCATACGAGGGAACTTCCAAAGTTCAAGGAAAATGGAATTAAAAGACAATGCGGCCGGCGCCGCAGCTCAGTAGGCTAACCCTCCGCCTTGCGGCGCCGGCACCCGGGTTCTAGTCCCAGTCGGGGTGCCGGATTCTGTCCCGGTTGCCCCTCTTCCAGGCCAGCTCTCTGCTGTGGCCCGGGAGTGCAGTGGAGGATGGCCCAAGTGCTTGGGCCCTGCACCCGCATGGGAGACCAGGAGAAGCACCTGGCTCCTGCCTTCAGATAAGCGCGGTGCGCCGGCCACAGCGCGCCGACTGCGGCGGCCATTGGAGGGTGAACTAACGGCAAAGGAAGACCTTTTTCTCTGTCTCTCTCTCTCACTGTCCACTCTGCCTGTCAAAAAAAAAAAAAAAAAAAAAAAAAAAAAAAAAAAAAAGACAATGCGCGGGGCCCGCAGGGCGGCCTGCAGTGGGTTAAGCCACCACCTGCGATGGCAGCATCCTACATGGGCCCTGGTTTGAGCCCCGGCTGCTCCACTTCTGATCCAGTTCCCTGCTAGTGGCCTGGGAAGGTAGCAGAAGAGAGCCCAAGTGCTTGAGCCCCTGCACCCACATGGGAGACCTGGATGGGGTTCCTGGCTCCTGGCTTTGGCCAGACCGGGCCCCAGTCATGGTGACCTTCTGGGGAGTAAACCAGCAAATGGAAGACTCTCTGTCTCTCTGTCTCTCTCCAGCTCCCCTAACTCTGCCTTTCAAATAAATTAAATTTTTTTACAGATAATGTGCATTTTCTGCTGTTTGAAACCCCACCTCCCATACAGACAACAATAAGGGTTCCATCGCCTACCCTGGTGTTTATTACGCCCTTGAACCGTGGCCTGACCAGACCATAGAGCACCAGGCCACGGACGTCCCTGGTGAAGCCCAGTCCTGGTGAAGCTTGGTCCCTGGCACATGGAAGCCCTCGGGGCTCCAGCACAGGCCTGCAGGGTTCCTGCCAGGCTGCCTTGCGGGCCAGCTGGTGAGCACCCTCTCCCCCAGAGAACGCGGCGTCTGTGTGGGCTCGGGCCCAGGGCCTGTAGACCGGCCGTCCCAGGGGAACCCCACGGCAGGGGCCCTTGTTCCGGTGGGGAGCGCCGGGAATCTTTCCCCCTGCCATCAGCTGGAGGGAGCCGGGCCGGAAGATGGAGAGCCCGGGGACGAGTCGAGGTCGACGCCGGCGACAGGAAGGGAGGAAGGGAGGATGCTCACCCGCAGCCGGGAGGGATGGCTGCACTTCGAGCTGCGTCTTCAGCAGGTGTCTCTGGAATGTTCTGTGGAAGTGTCGGGAATGCCTCTGTCACGTAGCTCCAGGCTTGGGACACATGAGGCCGGAGCGTGCTGGGCCCTGCGCACCGTGGAAGTCCAGCGCCTTCCTCCCCTGGGCGCCCGAGCCCCGCCCCCTCCTAGACCAGGTGTTCCAGCAGGGCCGAGCCAGCAGAGCCCAGGATCAAGCCCACCATCAGGTACAGGGACATGACGACGCCTGCGGCCTCGGCCAGCTCCCGGGGCACGAGCTTCGGGCCGTAGATGAGGGCCAGCGTGCTGAGGTAGCCATGGCTGAGCCCGAGCAGGCAGGAGAAGAGCACGGGGTAGGCGTCAGAGGTGAAGAGCACCAGCGCCAGGTGCCTGCGCGGCTGGTAGTTGCAGAGCACGAAGAGGGGCACGAGTGCGGTGCGCAGCAGCGCCAGCGCGGGGAGCGCCTTACTCCTGGGCCCCGGCACCTGCAGCCAGGCCGTGATCTGCCGGCCGCACAGGTCCGCAAAGTTGTAGACGAGGAAGGCAGTGAGCGGCACGAAGAACTTGGTGGCCCACGGCGAGCCTGAGCCCTCGTGGAGGGACTGGATGTTGGTGGAGATGGCGGGGAAGATGAGGCCGGTGATGAAGAAGAGGTAGACCATGCAGAAGCCCAGGCCTGCCGTCTTCCTCAGGATGGGGCGCAGGGGCGGCGTCGGGGATGCTGCCAAAGGGCTGCTCAGGGAGGCCTGGGGCGGCTCCTCTTCACCAGATACCACGCGGGCTGGGTAAACGGGCCTCATGTAATACCTGTGTGCAGCAGAGACGGCGGGGTCGCTTGGGGTTCCCAGGGACAAGGAGTCCAGGACTTCGCAGTCAGCAAAGTAGGGGTTGTGGTGGGCAGGGGGCTGCTCAAAATAGCACCTTGACCCCCCGCGTGCAGAGCCTAAGCCCCGGGAGTCCACGAGATGCTGTGGCTGCTGCAAGGTGGCCACGGGAGGCCCTGCACTGGCCCTGTCCCACCTGCCAGGCTAGGCTCCGGAACCTTGTCCTGCAGAGCTGGCCATGCTGCGAGGAGGGACACAGGGACCCAGCACTGAGCACCACACCATGAGCAAGGGCTCCAGCTCTAACTCACCTGCTTCTCTGTTGTACTAGATGTGGGAGGTAGAGAGAAAATGGCAATTAAAAATATAAAACTCGGGGCCGGTGCTGTGGCGTAGCAGGCTAAGCCTCCACCTGTGCAGCCTGCATCCCATATGGGCGCTGGTTCAATCCCAGCTGCTCCACTTCCGATCCAGCTCTCTGCTATGGCCCAGGTCCTTGGGCCCCTGCACCTACGTGGGACACCAGGAAGAAGCTCCTGGCTTTGGATCAGCTCAGCTCTGGCCATTGCAGCCACTTAGGGAATGAACCAGCAGATGAAAGACCTTTCTCTCTGTCTCTTCCTCTCTGTTTCTAACTCTGCTTTCAAGTAATGACATGAAATCTTTAAAAAAAATATATAAAACTCAAAAGTTATACAAGTAAGGTCTGCACGATGCAATGAAGCCACACAATGCGGAAGAGAAACGCTGTAGTAGGAGAGGAGTGGCTCTCGCCGTCCCCACCTCTGCTCTCCTCCTTAGCAGGGCTATCAGGGAGCCGCATGCAGGTGCAACCCCAACCCCCCATACACACGCACAATGCGAGACCACACTGCACCTGCTCTACGACTTCCTGCAACAGCCCACTGCCACGGGCCACTGTGTCCATGACCCCGAACTGCCTACGTCACCCGGAACCTCACAGATCCACGCGTGGGGTTTCATGCGTGGGGCCGCGTGGCTCTGCTCTGCCACGCTGCTGCAGGACGGCTCGCCCGGTGGACGGCTCCCCACCGACGCACATCCAGGGGCCTCCCTCACTACTACAAACAGCGGTGCAGCAAGTCTGCACAGAAATCCTCCCACGGGGATGCCGGCGCTCTGGTGTGGCAGACTTCTAGAAGAAACTGAGGAGTTAAATCGCCGGCACCTTGAGCGCCCGGAGAGATCAGGACGAAGCGTGCTCCCACCCGGTAGCGCTCATCTCTGCTCGGTGCCATCCATCCTGCCTAAGTCACTGCCCTCTTAACCTCCATCAGAGCAGCTGCTGAGGGCTCCAAGTCACTGCCACAATCTACAACCTTCGCAACGGTTTGCTGGTTTATCATCCGTCTCCTTCAACAGCACGCAGTTTGACTGTTTTTAACTACCCGCCCCAGGCAGAGAGGAGCCCTTTAAAACAGTGGCTGACAGAACTAAGGAGCCTGTAAAAGGGTCTTCTCCCTGTGCCCCTCTCTGTCCTCTACCCTGAATATTGCCAACTTGCCCACTTTTGCCGCAGTCACTCTGCCTTGCTGTGTGACCTTGCCTAAATCGCTGGACCTCTCTGGGCCTCGGCTGGCTGTGTTAATCTGGCCTGACCCAAAAGACTCGGTACATACCTGTGTGTCGGGCAGTAGCTTGATGAGAGCTGGGTTCGACCTTCAGCCTCCCCTCTGCCCTGCGCCTGTGTGACCTTGGGCCGAGCACGCCCCTGCCTCAGGCTCAGTTTCCTGCTCTGAGAAGTGGAGGCTTCCCGGGACCGTGAGGGTTTGAAGTTCCCGCCAGCGCTCCCACCCTAAGAGCCTACAGATCCCAAGTGAGCGGCCGGGGCAGTGCCCGCCCAGAGTCCCTCCTGCACGTGATGCTGAGCCGGGGCCGTGGCCCTGGGCCTCGTCTGCTTTCCCAATCGCAGTCAGTGGACAGGAGTCTCCCCGCCTCCCTCTCTGGGCCGCAGGTCCTGGCCCTGACTCTGCAAGTCTCCACGCCCAGGTTCTTTCCCCGCCCCCTCCCCACGCTGCTGCCTGGTGTCACCCTCCCAGGCGCGGCACAGCAGAGCCTGCGCGGGCGCCCAGGCCTCCGTGTGCCCAGCATCAACTGCTCGGGACCAAGCGTCCCGGGGCGCCGCCAGCGTTCTGATTCCCCCCTGCGAGGCCCTGTTCTGTCTCCAGGCCCAGGCAAACAGGACCCCACCTGCCCTCGCCACTGGACGCAGACACAGCCACGCGCAGCAGGACCAGGACATGGGAGCAGCAGCAGGGGTAGGGGTGGGATCTGCTTGCCCTCCTACTCATTCAGGGACTCAAACTCAGCAGTGTTCAGGGTCCTGGGGGGGATGGAAACCAGCCGCCCCCAGGAATCACAGGGACGTCGCCCTGGAGCCACAGCTGGACAGCTGACAAGAGCCCTGCGGGGCAGGGGAGGGGCTGCGGGTGCCTGGTGCCAGGAGATGCCTCTGTCTCCTATCTTCCCCCAGCTGCTGCAGCCAGCTGAAGCCATGAACGACCCCGTAACCAGGGAGGCAGGCTCCGGCCAAAACCAGGTTCCTGTGAGAGAGCGCAGAATCTGACAGGCCCGGCCTCTCGCGGCTCTGCCAGCTCACGCCTGGGGCACAGGCAGATCACTGGGCCTCCTCAGGGCCCCGGCTTCCTCGCCCATAACATGGGGAGAGAGGACCCTGCCTTTCCTACACTCAACAAGATAATGGCTCGGGAAAAGCTTTGGAGAGAACAGAACACAACAGAAAGTCAACAGTGGTTTTTAAAAAAAAAAAAAAAAAATAGTAGCAGGACTCGAGGAAGAAAAAGGAAGGAGGGAGGGAGGAAGGGGGAGAGAGAGAGAGAGAGAGAGAGAGAGAGAACACTACTTCAAGCAGGAAAGGAGCCCCACGAGGCAGTGACTGGGTGAAACACAGGCTCAAGGTCATGTTCAAATCCCGGCTCTGCCCAAGGAGGCAGCGGTGACGGTTCAAGTGTCTGGATCCCTGCCACCCACATGGGTGACCAACGTGGGGCTCGGGGCTTCAGCCTGGCCCAGCCCTGCCTGTTGAGTGCACTTAAGAGTAAAGCAGAGAAGCTCTCTGTCTCTGCCTTTCAAAAAATATTGATGATGATGATGATGATTCTAAAAGTCCTGGCTCTGCTACCCAGTGACTGTGAGACCTTAACCTCTCTGAGCCCTGGCTTTCTAGTTTGTGTGTGGGGATAATGAGCAACACTAGGGCTATGCCCAAGGACGAGCAGGGGTGTGGCACTCATCAGCCAGCTGGGCCGAGCCGGTGCCGGAGCAGGGGAGGTGCAAGCAGACAGGAGCCATCACCCGCTGCTACTCTACCACCTGCCTTCCCCGAACCCAACCTCGCAGACTCCACCTGCTCAGGGGTGCGGCCTGCAACCGGCCTCTCCCATGTACATGCCAGGCCAGTGTGCTGAGCAGCTGCTATGAGCCAGCTGCAGCTCAAGGCCCTGGGCTGCAGCTGTGACCACAACCCAAGAGGGGCGGGGAGAGAGAGGGACCAGAGAGCTCTCTGGGCGCCAGACGAGCAGGTGGGCATAGGGACCAGAGCCCTCCCTGGGCGCCAGGCGAGCGCAGGTGGACGCTGCGAGGACAGAGCCGTCCACAGAGGGGAAGGAGCGGGGCGGGAGGGGCAGGAGGGGCGGGCCTTCACCTGGCGTACTCCAGCCTGGGCAGCAGCAGGTAGAGCCCGATGCAGAGCCCCAGGAAGACAGCTGCCGTGAGGAAGAAGGCCAGGGCGCTCTCCGTCACATCCCTGGACGCCGCCATGTCCACCAGTGAGGCCACGGCGCTCACGGTCCCTCCCATGGCTCCTCCTGCAGATACCAAGGATACCACGGAGACGGTTAGGGCCACACGCGGGGAGGCGAGTGGCTGCAGGTTCCTCTGAGCTCAGGGAGCCGGCCCCAGCCCCTAAGGCAGCTGCGGCACACACACGTGTCCACGTGCCCGCATGCACACAGTCACACACATGTACTCACATGCCACACGCACGCCCATACATTTCTACAAGCACGCAACCACCTCACCACATGGAACGCTCTGCTTGCCAAGGGCGTGGCCACAGGCTGCCCCACGGGGCCACGGGGCACCCTGCACTGCTGCCCATCAGAGGAGGCTCCCAGGCCCAAGAGCCATGTCGGACCCCAGACTCTGCCCCACCCTAGCCATGACCCAGGGGCCATCATGACTTCTGTGGGCCATGGCTTGCTCACCCCTAAGGTGGGGAGAGCAACACTGGCTGTGCACGGCGGCTCTGCGGACAGAGGGAGGGGCCCTGTGCACAGTGGGCCTCCGGCAAGTGCCAATCCCCATCCTGGCACAGTCACACCACTGCTTCCGGGAGGCAGGGACTGTCCTACAGCCACAGGCAGCGCTCGTGCCGGACGAGAGGCCCACGTGTCACCAGACTCGGGACACGGCTCAGCACATGGGCAGACCACTCACTCTCCTCTGCCTCTGTCTGCCTGCCGGAGAAACAGGGCCATCACTCACGCTGTCACCACACAAGTCCGTGGTGAGGCAGGAAGGGGAGCGGGCGGACAAAGCACAGAAGCCGAGGACAGGGCTTGGGCGCAGGTGTCCGGCTGGGTGGCTCGGGCCTCAGCACAGGGCCTCTCAGGAGGCCTGAAGAACGCTGCCTGCAGCCGGTGAGGAGCCGGCCAGTGTGCAGGGCATGGGCTGCGCGGCCCTGGTCAGTGGCTCCTGTGGGGCACAGGGCAGCGGGCAGAGGGGCAGCCGAGGCCTCACTACACTCCACCAGCATCCCTGGGGCCCCCTGGACAATCTTCCCCATGACTTCCAGGACAGAAGGGCCCTGAGCCTGGACGGGACCGAGCGGCTGTGGCCACAGACTGAAATCAGGAAGGCGGAGCCGGACCCAGGCTCCCCCCTGCTGCTGTGCAACCTGGAGCAAGGCCCTTGCCCTCTCTGTGCCTGTTTCCTCGCCTAGAAAATGGGGATGTTACTAACAGCCCTGGTTTAGGGCCGAAATGGAGATGAAAAAGATCAGTGCACAGAACGCAGTCGGAGCAGTGCCTGGCAGAGAGAGATGCCGGATAAATCCTCTCCGATTTCCAATTAGGGGCTAGGCTATTTCCGTCTTCGACATCAAAGTCGCACCAGGGGGGTGGACCTTTGCCTGGAGGGGCCCTGCGTGGCAGCCGTCTTAATCCCCACCTGGCCAGGGTTAGGCTCCGTCAGACGCTCCCCCACCGCCGCCCACCGATCACCCCCTCTCTCCCCAACTTGTGGAGAATTCGCAATATTATCATCAACAGCAAACCGGCCTCCGGGAGCTCATCCTTCACGACTCCCTACTTTTATCTCATCAGTTATGGAAATATATGCAAATGAGGGGTTCCAGAACACACCAGCACAAAACAAATGAATTGCTGCTCCGATGCCAGCACTCACGGGAGTCACAGATGGGCTCCTCTGGACCAGAAACAAGTGGGACTGGCGAGTGGCCCCAGGAGAATGGGGCACCTCCGATTTCCCAGGGTGTCAGGCGCCCACGGGGGCCTCATACACTCACGAGCATGCATGGGGCCGGAGTAGTGGATATCGACTGGAAATTTTCCCACTTTCTGAAAAACTCACAGGAGACTGCTCCCCTCCCCCCGGAAGAGCCGCAGGTGACCCAGGTGCACCTGCAGGGCCAACAGAAATGCAGCGTCTCGTCCGTCTGGGGCTCCCAGACAGGTGGTGAGCAAAGCTGCAGTTCCTGGGGGAAGACCTCTTGCAGTGGAGGGAGGGAGACAGGGAGAAGCACCCCTACTGAGACCAGAGGTGACGGTTGGCCGGGACGAAGTCCAGGGTGCAATGGCCAGGCATGGCTTCTGCAACCACTGCCAGGAGCGTGCTGCCTGCTCTTGGGAAACTGAGCCACGTGCCCATGTTGGCTCAATTTGATCTGGGGCCAGGATTTTCCCGAGAGAGAGCCGGGAAACTAATCCCGTATCAAAAATGGCAAACGGATTGGAGCTCGCATCTAGCCTCTGATCTGTCGAGAGGAGTTGCCTCGAGTGCCGTGTGGAGAAGGATTTAGAGGCTTAGGAGGGAAGATAGGGATCTATTAGTGATGTCTGGCACGGGCGTCGGGCGGGGAGGGGACGCTCTTGTCACGGGATTTGTCATCCCTGCCACATCCTCTCTGGCTTGGCTGAAATTCTCTCCGGGTGGACACGTGTTCACACCGTGGTCCACACGCAGGGCCTGCAGCCTCGCCTTGGGAGCGGGGATCTCTGCACAGAACGGACGCCCACACACCCTGCTCCTTTTCACCTGTGGGGTCATCTGGGGCCCAGGCCTCCACACCAGACTAGCGAGGTCGCCTCCCCTCTCACTCAGGCACGTGCCCACGGGAGGCTGGGGAGTGCACAGAGCAGACCCTCTGTGGAATCAGGAAGGTGAGGAGTCCAGAGGCGGGGACGGGGAGGGGCAGGAAAGCCAGAGGGAAAGATGGAAGAACAGGGCGGGGTACCTGCAGGAGGCAGGCTGCTTCCAGGAACCGGAACAGCTCTCCACTGTGTCTGCCCTGCTCTCTTTCCAGGACCACCCCCACCTCTCCAGCTGGGATGGGTCAGGAGCGCAGGGGAGCAACGGCTGTGCAAGACGTGACTCCACGTGGCTCCTGTGGCTGTCAGAAACACGCGTCTGCCTGGGACTTTTGGGTGCTTGCTCTTGTAGCCCAGACCCCATGCAACGAGGAGGCTCAGGCAGCCGCGGTGAGGTCCACGTGCAGAGGAGCCGAAGCGCTGGCCCCCTCGCAGCCTGGCTGAGCTCCTGACACCAGCCGGGCGCGCAGCTCACCCTCTAGCCCCGGTTCAGCCGCCCTGGCTGGCTCCATTCAGAGCAGAAGAGGGCAGCCCCTGGCAACTCTTGCCCAAGTGCAGGTTCACGGTGGCATCAGGCTGTCGCTCAGTGGCACCAGGTTCCAGGCTGGTCTCTTCTGTGACAATCGATCATGCTGGTGCACCCTGAAAACATCTCGCTTTGGGGAAGGGCCACCACTGGCTCACCTCCGCTTGCTCCTGGGGGACCTCACGTGGATGACCCCTGCGGGCGGTCTGGAGCGCGGCTCTCACCTGAGATCAGTGCCTGGGAATTCCTCATGGGGAAGGAGCCGGTCATGCCGTAGACGCTGCTGCTGAAGACAATGGAGGCGCCGCTCACCACGGCCATGCAGACGATGGTGATGGCAAAGAAGCCGCGGGTCCAGGAGGAGGTGTCCACCTTCACCAGCACGGTCATCACCACGAACACGGCCAGCGTGACCAACAGCGAGGCCAGGACGCGGACGTGCACCGGAACCCTGCAGTGAGGACGCCAGAAGCTGCGGGCCGGGCTGGGGACCCCTGGGGGGCTGGAGGCGGGCAGGAGCTCAGCGGGGAAGCGTCCGTGCCACTCAGGGGCCTGGGTCTGAATCCTGCCGGGCGTCCTCGCTAGCGTGTGGCCCTGGGAAAGTGACCCAGTCACCCTGCACCACGGGGAGAACGGCTCCTCCTCCACAGATGGCTGCATGGCCCCGGTAAGCTGTGTGCCTGCAGAGAGCGGCTCTGGGCTCCGGGCTCCGGACTCCGGGCAAGCTCCCGGCTGCCGCCGCCTCTCACCTCGCTGGAAGGCTGCGGCGCTGGATGCCGGGCAAGCACCTGCTACAGGGCTGAGCTCTGCCTCTTGTTTAACACAGCAACACCATCCCTGGGCTCCTGGGCTCCCGGGCTCCCCCTACCCCCGGCGCTCAGCATTAGGAGCCAGGGATGGGGGAGGGGAGGAGAACCACAAGGACATCCTCATCATCCTCACTATCACCATGACAGCAGACACTCCACACAGCGCGCGGTCCGGGCCAGGCACTCCTCTAACGCTTCTATAATTCTCGCACCAGCTGTGTAAGACGCACTCTTACCTGTGTGTCCAGCAAAGAGGCCGGGCTCCTGCCCGAGGTCACCCAGCTGTGCCTGCGGCCTGCCCACGGGATGCGCTGCTGCCTCCCTGGACTACAGAAGGCTGGCAGCAGGAGCCAGCGGACGCCCACAGGCCCGTGCGGAAGCCACCGGGACGCCCAGCCCCCGCACGGCCCCGGGGAGAAACTGCACATTTCTATTCCAGGGAGAGAGAGTCCCTTCTCAAGGGGCTGCTTAAATCATCAGATTAGACTAAGCCTTAAACCGGATTGAGGCTTAGTTCATTTTCCTGTTAACCAGCTGCTGGGGGCCGAGAGAAAAGCCAGATTAGATGCATACCATTTTATATTATTATTATATAAAAAAGGCATACTGGAAAGGTAGGGATCTGGATGCACACAAGAGGTGCGAGATGATTAGCGTGAAATGCAAGTGCGTGTGGCCCCAGGGTGGCCTCAGTTTCCCCCGCATCCTCAGCTGAAGGGGGAGCAGCAGCCACTGAGGAAGCGAGGGGACGGCTCGGCGTCGCAGGACGAGGCCCTGGGGAGCTGGGACGGGGCCCATCTGCAGGTGTGTGTCCTCAATGGCCTGTTCATTCGTAAACATGCACTGAGCTTATGGGGCCAGTGCTGTGAGCGGGGGGCGGTGCTGGGCACACGGGATGGACCAGCGGCAGGCATTTCAGGCCACCATGCTAAATGCTCCACCGGGAGGTCACGGAAGGCTGCCTGGAGGTAACATCCAAGCTGGACCTTGAGGATGAAGGGGAGGCCCCTCTGGGTGTGAGCATCTTGGGAGACAGAACACAGCGTGTTCAGGGCTGGCAATGGACTCGGGCGGCGGCGGTGAAGGGAGTGCAAACACACAGAGACAAGGCTGGAGACCCAGAGCTACCCCCCGGCCCCCGCCAGGAGCAGCTTTCCCCCAGTGATGTGGGCAGAGGGTGGATAAACACCCTCGGGGCTGGGTCCTGCGCTGCTCCCTGTGATCCCTGGCAGAGGCAGGCTCTGGGCCGCCCTCCACAGACACCGGCCTTCCCTGTCTCCCTCTTAAGTCTCCCTTCACCTCCCCCGGAACGAGTGTCTTGAATCCTTGCTGCAGCGCCTGTCGCGTCTGAGATGCTCACCCAGTCCCTCCTCCCTGGCCTGGGCGGGAGCTGGTGGGCAGCCAGGTGGCGCCCCTGGAACCCAGGGCTCAGTGTGCACCAGATGCCCTAGAGGTGGCTCGTCAGGTTTAGCCCCGGTGCCCAGGGGGGTCCTACACACTGGACCGTGTCACATAGTGCGGGGGCCTCTCCGCCCCCCACAGCAGGCAGAGCTGCTCCACCCACCCCACGATGAGAGCCGGCAGGTGCACAGAGCCTGAGTGTGAAACTGAGCCCCCGTCTGGCTCTGCCCACTACTCGCTGGGTGGCCCCGGGCATGCATTCAAGCTCCCGGGGCGTCTGTCTTCTCACCCCCATGAACTAGTGACTCTAAGTGAGAAGACGGTCCGTGCAAAGAGAGGCTGGGACAAAGGCCAGAGTTGTAATCAGAAGAGAAGCTGTGGGAAGCAACAAGGCCAGGTGAGGCGGCAGCAGGAGGCCCTGCCTGGGCCCCCAGCACCGGCTCAGGGACTGCGAGCACAGATCCACAGCAAGAGAGATCAGGAGTGCAGGGGAGCGGGGCAGGGGCTCGCGTTGGCCGAACTCTCCCGGCTGTGCCTCACTCTCCTCTGCACAGCAGGGTCCAGCCGTGAACACCGGCCAGCTTCAGCCCACAGACACCTGCTGCCTTCCGGGAGTTTGTCGCTGCACGGCAGTGCAGACTGGTGCTCTGGCAGAGCCGGGGACCTGTTCTTTGGGTCCGGCTGGGTGGCAGGCAGGGAGGAGCGGGAGACGAGACGGGTGCGCTCCTAAAGCAGTGCACTTTGTCCCCTGTTCCTGCACAGGTCTCCTCGTCTGCCACTGTCCTGTCGCGCAAGCCACTCCCACCAGCACCTCTACCCTCAGGCCCCAGGTCCTCAGCAAGATCCCATGGTGGGGAGGGGAAGGCAGATACCCTCAGTGCAGAAAGCTCCATGAAACATGTAGCTGAAAGCCCACCCACAGGTACCAGGGCCCCACCCTCTCCTGCTTCTCCCATGCCCGGCAGGGGGAGAGACCCCTGCGACAATGATGCCTTGGGATTTTAGGGAAAGTCAAGGCAAGTGCTATCCAGTGAAGGGGGCTGGTCCAGGGACCAGGGCACAGCCACAAGGACACAGCTCCAGGCTGGAGGCCCCTGGGCAGGCCGTGCGGCTGTGAAGGTTCCTGGGGTGCCCAGGCTGCCGGTCCCCACCCTCCTACTCATGACGGCTCAGAACCCCAGGCAAGCGATTTCTTCATAAGTTTCCAAAATGTAAATGGCCCTCATCAGTATTTATGATGCCGCGAGTTTAACATAATAAAACACTTGGCGATTATGGATGAGCCGGCAGGGGAGAGGCAGGCTTCTCCGGGAGGGGAGGCGAGGGGACGTTTCAGTATCTCACATCTAATAAGAAACCGCTTAGCCCCAAACCATCCCCCTGCAGCCTGCATCAGACCGAGCCCCGCCCCGCCTGGAGCCCAGGCAAACATGAGGGCAAGGATGGGCCTGGCTGGGTCGGACCCCTCCAGAGAAGCCACCGGCCTGGCCGGCTTCAGCCCCTGCTGGAGATAGACCCAGCCCCTCCTCCCCAGCAGCCTGGCTCTGGCTGGGGCTGGGTGGGGGGACTGTGAAGCTGGGGGACTAGGGGACGGCTGGTCCCATGGTTCCTGACACAGGCGAGCAGTGAAGAGGTCACCTGCGGCATCCCAGCTCCAGCCTTAGCGTCCACGCGGCCGGGGGCTGCCCACCTCTGTGAGGCCGGTTCCCCACCTTAAAGCAGGGTCACAGGCTGCTGTCAGGTTCAAATGCATGAGGCGCCTAGGGGACAGGAGCGCTCACAGGGCCACCTGCTGCTGGGAGGGGTCATCTTCCTCTGTCACTTCTGCCCCCAGGCCCTGCTGGACAACACAGCCACGAAGGGGGTGGTGAGGTGTGGGCAAGCCTGGGCCATCTCGGACTGGCCCTGTGGTCTTGGGACACCCCTTGACCTCCATAGGGAAAGTAGGGTAAAGTGATGTGACAAGGGGGAGCCAGGGCCAGACGCCCCTCTGACGGTTCAGGCAGTGACTCTGGAGGGGGAAGGGGGCCCGGGCTCCCCAAGCTGGGGCTGCAGAACGAGAGCAGGGAGGGTGGTAAGAGAGAGACCTGGAGGAGGGGCCTGCGAGGCCGAGGGCTGCCCTACCGCCATAGCTGCTGCTGCCTCTTTCTCTCCTGCTAGGCACCACCAGGGACCCTACTCGGCTCTCTGGGGGCCCTGCGGTGCTGGGGGCCTCCTGGCTCTGCTTCCAGTGGCCCCCTCAGGAGGCAGCGGGAGCCCCGTGCACTGGCCAGCACCCTCTCTGCTCACATGTCCAGACTGCGTGTGGGCATTGGGTGGGTGCACTCACTTTGACACTGGTTCCACTGGGAAGCAGGGTCTCTGTCCCCAGAGGAGTGCGGCCAATGTGGCGCGTGTGACCCAGAGACTGGCTGTGAAAACCCTGTAGCTTCTTTATGGCTGTCCCCGAGCGTCTGCTCTTCAGCCACAATGTAAGCAGCCCTGGTCCTTGGAGGCCGGTACGTGAGAGACCACGAGGAGGACGGGAGAGGGAGAGGGAGAGGGACAGATCAGTGGGCACCAGCCCCAGCTGTGCTCTGACAACAATGGAATGGGAGACCCTGAGCCTCGTCGACACCCAGGGCATGAAGTGACTCGTTGTTACATCTGTTTCCAGCCACCGTGTACCCAAGGGTCACAGGGACAGCCCCACGGCAGGACATGTTGGGAAGACTGGCACACTCAGGCTTAGCACACTAGGCACTGTCCCGCTCTCCTCCCACACCCGCAGCAGACATCACTAATCAATCACAGCATATTCCCTGAGGCCGGACCTGCTCAGACAAGATCAAGGGAGTCACTACAAATTGATCGGCTCTGGGCCATCAGTGCAAAGCCTTCTCTGTGCCCCAGAGAAGCCGAGGTTCCTAGACCATGGGTGGTCATCATTATCACCTAGTGGCAGCTTTGGGCAAACACAGGCAAAGCAGCCAAGGCCAGGCCCTTGTAAACTCTGAGGATGGACCACAACAGTCACTCAGTGGGGCCCAGAGCTGTGCTGATTTGCTAATCTAAATCATTTCCTCTTCCACGGTGTATCTGGATGGAATCCCTCCCAGCCCCCACCACCCCAAGGTCAGAAGTTTCCCTGCCCACTCCGTGAGCTGCCGATGCTCAAGCTAGCCTTATGGCCAAGCACAGGGCAGGGAGGCCAGCGCCAGGGACGCCTCCACTTGCTCTCAGAAATGCTTGGAAGACTAGCTCCCACGCCCTGGTGCTGGGCCCCACCACACATACATGTGCGGGCCCTTGGTCAAGGCCAGGCCTGTGGTCCAGGTAGCAGCTGGCAGACATGACCCTGGGAGGAAGACCCCTGTGTCCCCACCAGCCTCCAGCTGGCTGCTGACACCTGCCACAGAAACACAGCTATGGCTGGGAGAGGCATGGGGAATGCAGGGGTCGGGGGCCGCGAGAGGGCAGACGACGGCCTACCTGTTGACAAGCAGGAAGTTGGCCACCAGGCACAGCAGCGAGGGCACAGTGGAGGCGATGGCGAGGTAGCTCTCAAAGTAGTTCTGGAAGCACACAAGCAGGAAGCAGCTGAGGTCACTCGCGGGGGGACAGGGGGAGGGGGGTGCAGGGCCCACCCGAGCCCAGACAGGATCTCCCCACCATCTTCAGATACCCAGGAGCCACGTTAAGTCCACCCAAGACCACAGGGACACAGCCACTCAACAAACAGCTGCCAGCGGCAGCTGTGCTAAGTGCTGGGGGCTTAAGGCAGGGTGAGACACTGTCCCGCCCCCAGGGAGCCCACGCTCCGCCACTCTGCCTGTCCTGCGTGTGCACTGAGGCAATGGGGACAGGACTGGGATTACACCTAAAAGAACAGTTTTACCCTACAGCCTCTTTGGCTTGTTGCCAAAATGCAGAATTACCCAGCAGGCGTCCTTAGGCCCTCACCACATTCTTGCAACCAACTCAGAAACATCAGGCACTGCCCGCTACGGGGGAGCGTCGTGCCGACTCTGGATTTGCTCCCTGCAAGGAGCTGCCCCAAAGCTCCCAGCCATCTGGGGAAGCAGCTCCTGCACCGGCCAGAACCAGGGAAGGGGTCTCTCCTGGCTGCGGCTCAGGATCTGCACACCAGCGGCTGGCTTTCCCAACAACACCCTGCAGGACTCAGCCACGGCGGCTGCGTGGGGACTGTGCCACACGCAGAGAACGGCCCGCGTGGTCCCTGGCTACCCCTCAACACAACACTGGGGACGGCTTTGGCCGCTGTGGGTCCAAACTGTGAGCCCCAGGTTGGTAACGACAGTTAAGCTCTAAGCCGTGGTGACAGCTTACACGCACTAAGCACTTCCTGTGTGCCAGAGAGGGCAGCCACGCATCTACGAGCTCTAGGCAGAGAAGCAGTGGGGACATCCATCCCACACCCCCTGAGCCATGGGATGGAGCCGAGGCAGCCCCTCAAGCTCCGGTGTGCCAAGTGCAAAGGATGTGCCCAGCTCCAAAGCACCTGCCAATGGCGGGGCTCCCCCAAGGAGCCCAGTGGGGCTCCTGCCTGCTTTGTGGGGCCCCTTAGGAGTGTCAGACGGGCGGTGAGCATCTCCAGCAGCTCAGAACACCACAAGCGCAGCCGTGGGAGCTCCGTGGCGGCTTCCCCACCCGCTATCAGTGCTGGGCACTCCCGGCAGGGGGGTAGGCAAACACTCAAGACAGTGGCAGTGAGGATGTCTGGAGCAAGGTCGCAGGGCAGGGCGGATTAGAGAGAGACTTGGAGACCAGGGTCAGCCTCTCCCTTTGCAGCCCCCACCTCTGCCCACGGGGGCCGGGGTCTGACTGCTGTCTAACGGGCCCCCGTCTAGTCTGATGCACAGACGGTTCCAGGTCTTTGTGGTCTTTAAAAGCTGCACCCTGAATGGGTTGGGGTGGCCTTGCAATTAAAATGATAATCACAGCTCCTGCGGTCCATCAACCATGAGCCTTGGAAATAGCCTCTGCCCGGAGCTTCCACCTCATTGTTCCTGCCCGATGGGCTCAGCAGAGCCTGCCCTGGGCTGGGGCACTCAGTCAATCACATCCTGCCACAGTGGCTGGGCTTACGTGAGGCGGGGAGGGAGCGGTGGGAGAGGGGGTGGGAGGGGAACCGGGCCTGCTCCAATGCATGCTCCCCTCACTTCTGCCATTTCCCAGCAGGCTCAGGTTCCCCAAAGGCTTTAGGGATGGGGATTTTCCAGGTAATGGGACATCCAGGCTTGTCAACAGTTAAGCAGAAAACCGTGCCTTCAAGTTTGGAAAGCTTTTAAAATATTGACAACTGGGAGCCAGCGCTGTGGCACAGCAGGTTAAGCAGCCGCCTGCGACACCAGCATCCCGTATCAGGTTCGAATCCCAGCTGCTCCACTTCTGACCCAGCTCCCTGCTCATGTCTGCCTGGGAAGGCAGCAAAGATGGCCCAAGTGCTTAGGCCCCTGCACCCATGTGGGAGACTCAAATGAAGCTCCTGACTTCAGCCTGGCCCAGCCCTGGCTGTTGTGGCCATCTAGGGGAGTGAACCAGCACATGGAAGATCTCTCTCTCTAACTCTGCCTTTCAAATATAATAAACAAATCTTTGTAAAAAATATCGAAAACTGCAGAAGACTCTCAGGCCCTTCCTGGGAAGTGAGCCCAACTTCCTGCTCCACGAAGAACCTGCCAGGGCATGGAGCGACATGAGCCGGACCATGGAGGGTGGGAAACTCCAAGCCTACACGTGGACTCTGGCCAGTGTGGGCAGGAGATGGGACAGAGCAACAGACACCGCTCGCCCTCCTGGCCCCTGACCCACCTGTGAGGCACAGGGGCTCCCCAACACCCCCACCTGAGGCGGTGGTGGTGTTCTGTGCAAAGCTGTGGCCAGCTCAGGGATCCTGCAGCTCGCACGGGCTGTCCCCCGAGCCCTGCCCCACGTCTCCCTGGACCGCACTCCTGGGCGGTGTCCACGCACACAGCTCTTGCCCAGGAAAGGCCTTTCTCGGTGTGTCCACGAGCAGGGCCTGCGCCCTGTCCCTGAGCACGCACTCTGCAGACGTGTGGCTGGCGCTGCCTTCCTGGGGTCACCTGCTTTGCTTCCTGGGGCGCCGGGGCTACCTTCTCCCCTTTTACTCAAGGACACAAAAGACACTTGAATTCTGGCTCCAACACTCTGCAGCAGCACCCCCCACCTCCCGACCCCGCAACAAAGCGCCCGCAGTGCCCATCCAGCGGGGACTTGTGTTGTGCCGCGGGCTCACACACGCCAATTCAGTGCCACGTGGGCCTGACCACTGTTTTTGTGTCTGCCAGCAGTCCCCCTGCAACCACCACCACCTCTACAGGTGCACACGGGGTCCCAAAGGCCAGCTCCAGCCCTGAGGAATGGAAGGTGAGACTCCCAGAGTGACGATGCTGGGGTCATGGGGGTACGGGGGCTGTGCTGTGCACGACCCCAGGGGCTGGCAGCCCCACTCCTGCAGCCTGGGCGGGCAGTTTGAACCTCACCGGATTGCCGGTGGAGACCATGATTCAGATTAACAGCCAGGGCTGGAACGTAGGCGGATGTAATAGGGCATCGAGAGGTGCGAGTCCTGCCCGAGCAGGTTTGTCCGCCTCAGCAGGCTGCTCGGCAATTCTGCAGCCGTCAGCCTGGCTGGGTGGCCACTGCCCATCAGATCAGGGCCTCTTCCTGTCTTCAACCTGTGCCTGACGACCTGCCGAGGTGCCGAGGCCCTGAGCGCCAGCATGCAGACAGATGGGTGGAGAAAGGGCAAGGGGATCGCCCCCGGGGAGCAGGTGGGAGCCCAGAGCTGAGGGACAGTGGATACAGGCGGGGCTGAGGGAAGGGGAGGAATGGGGGGTGCAGGGTTCCCTGGGGCGGCTGGGAGGGGGAAGCAGTCACACAGGTCCAGGAGAGGGGCGCATGGGAACAGGGGGGCACGTCCTGGCCACGCAGGGCTCCGGCTCAAGGTGCTGGGTGGCAGCCGCCGCAGGCACTCCTCAGCTGCTGAGAGAAGCTGCCTGCGCTGTCCATGCAGCCCCGCAGGACACAGGGGAGGCGGGAAAGGCTGGCAGGATTCCAGGCACACCCCAGGCTAGTGTGGGGGGCCCCCATTAGCCACCACTCCAAAGGCACATGGGAGTGGGCAGGTCCTGCTCTGAAGGCCCCATCTGTCTCCCCTGCATTACCTGGGCTCGGGCAGCCCCATCAGAGATCATCCTCGGCACCTGCCAGGTAACCCGAGTAGAGAAACGGCATCCCTGGGGAATGCCAGGTGACTCGGACTCTTGGACAAAGCTGCACGGACCCCAGAGCCTCGAAGCATGGGGCAGAGCTGCGACTTGCTCCCATTCTACAGATGAGAAGGCCGGAGCCACCCGAGGTGGACATCCACAGAGGCACACACCTGGCGAGCGCTTCTGATGCGGGGATGACAAATGCAGGAGCCGCTCCTGCCACGCGCAAACACCGTCCCTGGGGGCTCAGCGCTGTGCCCCATGGCTGTGATGGGCGGCCAGGGTGCCTTCCAGGGGTCACCACTAGGGACCGGCCCTGGGGACCTGCAGGTCCCAGGATACGAGCCGTGTTTCTCTCAGGGTGGGCCCGTCTCCTTCCCAGCCCTTAAGTGCGGGTGTCCCTCCCGAGCCAGCCAATGCTGGAGTCTGCACCAGAGTACTGCAACATGCTCTCCCCTCCCAGCTCATTCACAGGCACACGCGTGTCCCAGTCGTGTGAAAAACAAAAGGAGAGCAAGCGCGAAGCCCCTGGGTGGCTGCCCGCTCGCGGCCAGCGCCCTAGAGGACAGAGTGCCTGGGCAGCATCCTCTCATCTCTCCTGCCCCTTCAAACCCCCAGCGCGCCCCCCAGGGGTGGGTGTGGGGGCTGCAAGCCCTGGCTGTGGACAGACCCTGGCAGGTGGCAGGTGAGCGTGGATGAGGCACTTCTGACCTGGGCGCGGGGCTGCCTGGTTCGCTCGCGGCGGCTCTACGGAAGCTCATTTCCAACAATTTACGGACCCGGCAGGGCCGGCCGGCCAGATGCGAGGCCCTGTTTTACAGCGGGGAACGCGCGCCCTCCTCCGCCACGCTGAGCGGTGCCACGCTGGGCATCTCTTCTGGAAGAATTTCATTCCGGGCGCGGAGTCCAGGTAAAGAGCTTTCCCCAGGCAGGGAGGCCCCAAAACGAGCCCGTTTATCTCTGGCAGGCTCTGGCTAAGCACCCTCTCCCTGGATGCCATTTGGGCACTTTGCAATGAGCGCAGCAAATTAGTCGTGAGCTGCGGCAGCCTCCGTGCCCCGGCCCCGCCGCCTTTGGCAAGGCAGCTTCGTGCAGCCCCCCCCTCCAGAAGGACCCCCGCCTCCTGCGGGCCGAGCAAAAGCGATTCCAGCCCGGGGAGGGGGCAGCTCAAGGCAGCCGAGCGTTACCTGGATCACACGGCCATGAAATTAGCAGCAGCGAGCAGGCGGGAGCCAAAAATAGTTTGGTGCAAACTTGCCGCCTTCCGATAGCCAGGGTCCGAGGCCTGGGATGCCACAGGGGAGGTGCCCTCGCTC